TTATTATGCCTATAAATATATATGGAAGAACTTTAATAAGCACTCTCGTAGTTTTAATAGCACATGACCATGTCGAAAGTCAACGCATATAACAAATAATGGGCGTATGCATTTTTTAAATAGATTTTTGTAACAGTTTTGAAGATTTAAGTATACTTTTCAAAATACAGTAAATAACTTTTTTAACTTTGTTGCTGACCAAAATTAATAGCGATTTATAGAAATGTAGACGGTTTAAAACTACGAACATTTTTGGCGCGCACACAAACGTATGCAAAAGTTGGCTGACGCGGCCCGACGACCTACACGATCTTCGACGCAGCTCCACTTGTCCGTACGTCGTATTCTAAAGAGTGTTTGAATGTTACATCATCATAGTCATCAACATTATTAATATCGTCATCATCATAATCCTCATCATCTTCATTATTATCATTATCATCTTTGTCATAATACTCATCATCACCGTCATTATTATTATTATCATTATCATCGTTATCATCTTCTTTATTCTCATGGTCATACTGATCATAATCATCATAATAATCATATCATCATCGTGTACTTCCTTTATTAACTGTAATGATGTGCGTGCCACATTTTCAATTATATATGCTAACCATTCTTGTTGTATGCCCACGGTACGTGCAACTATGACGTCAATGAATGTGAGAATATCACGTGATTAACGAAATAACCACGTGTCAATTAAATTTAATGTATCTTAATGTGAAGTAGTGAGGAGAAACCGAGTGTTCAATCTGGAGAGAAAGCAAACTGCTCCGAGACTATCGCGCAGTGATGAATAAGAGTAATTACTAATAGACTAGGAGCAAACATTGGGACAATCGTCGTGTAATTATAAAAATGCCCCAAAGCGGTCTATTTCATAAGCTGATCTAAGGACACAATTGGTTCTTTATACAGTATTATATGTTATATGTTATGTATATATTAGTTCCCGCTAGTTACGTAAACATGAGCCATACTTGTGATCTTTAACTCATTTCCATGTTCTCAATTTTGTGCAGTTTTAAATATATATCCTTCCAACCTATTCTTAGGTTTTATGACCTTAGGTTGTTCATCTAGCGCCATTTTACCCTCACCTCGTGTTCACATACCCATCACGATACTATTTTTATAATTTTAAAGTCCACCCTTCTGTCACGCACATCTACCAGTCCCCTCCCGCCCAACATAGGCCTATCCAATACCCATCGACAGGAATCAACATTAAGCCTACTATTACGGCCTCTCTATCCCAAACCCATCTCAATTAGTTGATTGGCGATGAGTAACAAAGAAATATAGTTATCTAAAATCACATTTACATTTAAAGGAGCTCCAGTGACTGACCACACCACATTAATAACTGCATTCTACATCTGAAACCGGGCATCCACTGCGTCTTACCACGTACTACCGTCGACCGACGAATCTAACTCCGCTTCTTGTGAGCGCTAGACAACACGACGCCGTTTGCTGACTATGGGTGGCAGTCTGAACGGATCGTCATTAAAAACGATCCGTTGAGCGCGCGTGGTGGCGTTGCGTTCTCCATAAAATCGCGTCAGCCTACGACCGTCGGGCGCAGTATCCATCTAGCTTAAGTCCATCTAGCTTAAGTCCATCTAGCTTAAGTCCATCTAGCATGGTAATAGATGATGTCCATTCATTCTGACAGCTTTGTCCAATATAATAGCCCTCCCGATATCTAGGTATTAACTTCCCAAGATGCTCGTTACACCTTAAGTATCACATTGTGGCGGTTGCATGAAAATCGACCGATCCATATAATAATACTAGCATCATCTCACTGAGGAAATTTCTTGATATGATCTGAGGCTCATGTTTCATCGGCAAGGCAAGAGGGATGTGAAATGTTATTAAAATTTACCGGTTGAGTAAGAAACGTGGACTAAATAAACTCAAGAATATGAAATTTAATTATTAGAACGAAACTAGGATACTCGTCGGAACAAAACAGAGACCGGAGTTGTATACGTCGTGTTGAATAACATACTATTAATAACCGAAAGGAAAATCAAAATACTAATTAATAATAAACATCCTAGTATAATTGGTTATGTTACGCAAGTAGTAAATTTTCATATAAAATTCTGCTGATGCTCTATTTGTAACATGATCGCAACTGCAACAAAATCATTTTATTAATTTTTTTTTTCAATAAACCGGTGATCGGGTTAAAGGGTTTTCATTTCATTGAATTTTAAATAAAGCTTATTATGAAATCGCCAGACAGACTTTTTATCACTCACAAATCCATCTCAATTAAGGATACGCATTAACAGAAACACATTTTACAGAATTTCCTTGTTGGATTTAGTGCTCTATCTGTATTTAGTTACCGTATGTAGACATAATGTAACAACATGTTTATTTCATGGAAGCACATCAAAAATCAAAATGCCGGTATAATAAGTATAACGGCCTTTTAATGTTTATGCTATTATTGTGAAGTGGTAGAATTTATGTGCATGTTTTCTGTAAATGTAATGGTTTGCATAAGAAAAAGTGTTGTATTATGTTTCCTGACGTCTTGAAGATGTAGGCAGAGGGTGAAAACCATAACAGAAGTGTGTACAAAGTCTGAGCTACGGAGATAATGATTATGACGGGAGAAAAGGGTTGAACGATCGTAAGATAATCGTAAGATGCTGACAGAGGTTTAAATTGTTAAATGGATACCACACTTGAGGTGTGGATAGAAGGTTTGACGCGGATACATTTTTTAAATATACAACAAAGTAGGCCCGTAACCAGGATTCTTAAGGAGAGGTTTGATGTAACAGACAGAGGTCCAATTAGTAGGGAACAAGGGAAAAAGTGGCTATATAGGTTGTAGGCGTGGTGAATTTCATCAGTGGGGGTTCTCTCAAAAAGGAAGTTTGACCGAACCATGGAAACTTCCTGATTACGACGTATGTCAACAGAGGATCAAAATTATAGATTTCAAGTGAAACGGACCTCCGTTTTACGTGTAGGATGCATCCTACACGTAAAACGGAGGGTTCAGATACACAATAATCTGTTAAAATTCGCCGTCACATCTCTAGCGACCACTGACCACTGGAAATAATCAACGCTAAGATCGATGCAAAATATGGATTACACAATTATGGTCACACGGTGGCCTTAGGTCGAATCAATTAAAACAAGAACAGTAATTAATCAAAACCATTATATACATTATATTATTATTAATTATTATTATGTACTGGTGAAATAAAGATTGATTGATTTCTATATAGTCTTAACACCAATGGACATCACTGATGAGTAGTCTGTTTTATATAGGGTCAAACACATACAATGTCCTCTTTCTATGTCGTCATCTATATATATATATATATATATATGTATTTGTATATTTATTTATATATAAGAAGAAGGGTTCTAATTGATAGGGATTATTGTTGTATGTTATTATTATATTGAGATCAATAAAGTTCATTGAAATGTATTTACCTCTACTTCCTACAACGATGCTTGCTAATCCTGTTTTGCAATAAATAATTAATTATAAATTAACGTCACGAAACTATTTAACTAATCTTTATTGGCGCCGGTATTTCCTTTGTAATATATACTTACAAAACGTGGAACAAGGTAATTGGTAAATGACGTTATAATTTCTGGGATATAATTAAATCCGGTGTCATTGGCCTAATGCTTTTATTTTTTGATGATTCTGTATTTTCTCTACGAAAGTTCAGCTTTGAAATTATAAAAAACTTTTTCCTTGAAATCAATTGTAGTTGTAGCAGCAATAAGGGTATATAATTTTCACCACACTAACCGATTAGTTACATGTGTCTTGAATCGGAGTTTTTGGAAAGTTGCTGTATACAACATGAAAATAATTACACAGGCCAATAATTGAATGTTGTCATTAATATATCCAATAGTTGACTTCTAGAAAAAGTAATGTATATTATACTTAACGATATTAACTTTACCATGCAATTAAAAAACTAAGCCGAGAGATTCTTTGAAAATGCTCTATTTTACGGGAAATCTAAAAGTATTTTTAATATAAATATGAAAAATACCAACGCAGTTTATACGTTAGAAAATGTTAGGAGCATTTGTACATATTAAATAGATATAGCGGAAATAGGACAGTGCGTAATAGATACATTGTTCTGCTTTGGGGTCCATAATTAAGAAAAATTGGTATTTTGCTGATTTGATACTTTTAATACAATTTTGGCATCGTCCGAAGTGTCCTTTCCCTTACAAGTGTTTTGTTTTAATGGGAATTAAAAAAAAAGAAACAAAAACTTTGGCCTAATTGTTCTTCGCCTCGTTAAAAATTTCTCCTTTATAGGGGTTTCAGTATGCGAAAAGAGGGTTGACTACAGTATAGGATTGTATGATGTTGACGAGGCTAGGTGTGAGCTCCGTCTATGTATCGTCATATTTGACGATTTGTATTTTTTCGATGGTCGCTTTAATGATGAGGCACCAGAATAACTGATCTTTACGACCATAGTTATCATTGAATGCCTGTGTGCTTTAAAATATAGACATTGTAGGTAATTTTGTTAAAACATCATTGTATAATGTACACCATAACGTAAATTAATTGTATATAATACGCTATCAGAACTAGATCATCGATGATAGCTCACATCGTTTGGACTGCCACTAATTTGCCTAACGCTTACTTGACTAAGCTCACAAAACCATTTATAGTTTAATTTCTATAATCACTCTCATACTCTACTTCAGTAAATAGGTTTATGTCACTTAACTTTGCCAAGCAAATACTATCATCGTATGAACCTATCCTATGTTTTATTCCAAATTCTACTACACGTCATTTGTGTTTGAACTGTACGATCAATCGAGCTAAAGCAGTATTTAAATGAGAATCGGTGAAATGCCTCCCCCATGCGTGAAATGTACTAGGCGAGATCGCGAGTATAAAGGCTTGTGTACGCTATTGTAGGAACAGTGTGCGTATCAGAGTAGCGAAAGGTAGTGGCCAGTTTAAGGCGATAACACTACGTCGTGTCGAAAACTCACTCTGGATCATTATGTGTTACTATGTTTATTGATGGACGGTTACCTGCAGAAAACTTAGTAAGTTCATTAGCTCTGTTATTTTATACATCTCTACGCTCCATTTTAAACGAATTTATGTATATAGTTTAAATCGATATAATGTAGAATTTTAGAATACATAACCAGCAATATCATAATTCGAGAAATTAACGCATGCGTATCACGCGATACCAATTCCGCGTTATAGACGAGATCATAAACGCACAGTTTTAAAAAATATAGGACTGCAATGCTGAGTATGAGGTAACCCGTTTCCTAATTTGCTAAGTTCGAAGTATGTAGTGAGATAAAGTAAGACATCACAAGTACTGGTGAAAGTCTTCATTACTATTATAGATGATACAGTGCCCAATGGATGCCATAAAATACTTACTTAATTAAATGCAATAAAGAAGATTGTCTGAAACTAATTTACAAATTAGTTGAATCACTTTAAAAGCCATAAATTCGCAATTTAGTGCGATTAAGTGTAGCGAAGCGGGCCATTGATATATTTTGCTAATGATTAGCCTGTGAAACGCATACGGATTATTGGGAGTTAATTTGAGATCTGTTGATGGTCAACTGTTTACTATCCATTCCGAAGCCCTCCACCCGAAGTGTTGTATTAATCATTAGGTTAAGAGTTCTTGGAACATAGTGGTTTCCCGACTGGTTTCTCGTGTAGCTTTTTACTTAACTGATGAACTACGCATATTGTTTCTAAACGAGTGATATATATTTTGTACGTTATTCATTTTAGCTCTATGATCGCATTAATGGCCTACATACCAATGTCTACTAATTACCACCACCACCATTATTATTATTATTATTATTATTATTATTATTATTATTATTATTATTATTATTATTATTATTATTATTATTATTATTATTATTATTATTATTACTATTATTACTTTACATTACTGTTAAATAACTATAATATGGACACGTTTCATTCTCACCTGTGTACGTTAGTCAAGATTATATTGGTCTTTTAACCAGGGAGTTGTTCTCTATAACATACACCCCAAAGCGCACTACCGTTTTTCCACAGTTAGAACCTGTATGCATATTTCAACATTAGGCCTAGGCCTACATGCCTGTGTACAAACATATACCAATTACTTATTTAACGTGTATAATATTTCCCATTATAATTACATTCTGTCAAAGCGAGCTTGTCAAATCATACAGATACCAATTACAGATAGCAGGCCTACTTGTCACGTAATTATATTATTGTTATCTTAGCCATTAGAATGAATAAGGCAAAGTGCATGATAATAACATACCGTTACAAGACTGCTCTTTTTTCTCTCTGTTAATTTCATGTCTGATAATTTTACCATCCTCTAATTTCATGTTTACTTGATAGTTACTCCAATATAGGTCTACTCGTCGATGGTTGCATATCAGTACTTATATGACGCACATATAGGCTTAACATAATATGCGCAAGAACAGAAAGAGGACGAAAATGGAATGTATATTTTTAATACAGACAGAAAGTAAAACAGAGGAGGCAAAAATGGGAAAATTTTGAATTTGCTCACTGGTAGTGAGTTGCATAGATTCAGGCCGGTAACTGCAAATGACCTATCTAGTCTTAGTATACCCGACTCTACCTATATGAAGTTTAGAATTTTCACTTTCAATATTGCCCTTTGTACTTTATTCAGTATCGATATACAG